CGTGTGGTCTAAAGCACACACGTTAGTTTTTTTATTTTCAATGCAGTATTCAATTTTCTGTTTAAGGTTCTCTTAAAGCCATAATATCTCACTCGTTACGCCATTTGTTTAATATATGGAGAAATAGCAAAACAATATGAAAATAAGTAGTTCCTATTTATTATGTAAGGAAGAAATTAATGTTTTTTCCTTGGTCGATTACAATATTCCATTAAACATAATAGACAAAAATATTTGTACAAATTGTTTTGCTAAGACCTGTTTTTAAACGCTGACTGGAAAGATGATAAAAGTAATAAAGAAAAAATAATGCCCCGATCATGGGATTTTCTAAATTATTAAAAAATATAAGAACAACCAATGTCTTTAAGAAATAATAAAGTTAATATATCAGCCAGGAAAAAACAGGGTAGTAGACTACTCCTAACTGCAATATCTTTAAACAGGAAGACATTATTAAGTATACCAAAACTGATGGACTGAATCTTTGGTAATAATCGTCCGATTTTTACGATTTATTTTTGTTTTTTAGGTAATTTAGTAATCTTTCTAATTATCATGGGTACAATCGAGAAAAAATGCATACTTTTTTAATTATTCGCAAATAAAGTTTCTTTTCCTTCATAACTTTTTCACCAGACATTTCGGGAAGATAGGACTATTTTTCGCTTGTGAAGGAGAAGAATATCTTCAAAATGAGTGGTCCATCATTGGATTTGAAGAAGAATTGACGAGGGTATGACATACCGACAAAAAACACCTTTTAAAAATAATATATAGGATGTATGATTCGACGTCTGTGGTTGATACAGTACTTCATTATATTCCTTTTTGAAAACATTTAACTATAATATAGCGTTTCCAATCGCTGATTTGCGCTAGTTTCCTGAGTTAGATATATATCCGCTCTGTTATGTAATATGGTAGGAAGGGTTTAACTTGACGAGTCGGTAGAAAGTAGCCCCTGGAAGGGATTCCGGTTTATAGTCTACTTCGGAGCTAGACCAGGTCCCTTTACATAATTCTTTTTAAACACTTAATGATTCGGCTATGGAAGTCTGGCATTATTTACTGACAAAACTTAAAATATATTACGATATATGCCTAACTACATGGACTTACACTTACATCTAAGTTTAGGAAATATAACAAAAAGTTATATTAAAAAAATATCGGGTTGGCAATTAAGTCTTTTCGCCATTTCTATTCAGTTTTATGTCACTATGGTACACTTTTTATCTGATGAATTAATCCCTAAGGTGGATTGTTTATCCTGTTAGTAATATGTCAACAACTATATCTGTTAATTCTTGTTGTAACTAGTTTAGTACTGTGTTTGGTATTGCACTGTGAATATGGAAGAAAATATCATTCATTATCGGCATATTTTGTTGTATTATTTAAAAAAAGGTAAGTTCATATAGTTTTGCTGCAGAGGTTCATAGAAAATTTTGCAGTGTTTATGGGGATGATGACTTAACCGAACGCACCTGTCTAAATTGACATTAATGATGCTCAACGGTCTGGTCACCCACATGAAAGTGATACGAGTAATGTTAAGGCCATTGTTGATCAAAATCCCACCCAATCAGTACGAGAGATTGCTATGTATCCGAGAGATCCTAAATGTTTCGCACATAAGAGTAGAAAACCATTTGCACAAGCTCGGCTATGTTTCCAGGCCTAATATTTGGATTCTTCACTCTCTAACCCAAGTCAACTTGGCAACACGCATTTCTGTTTGTGATTTGCTACGGAAATGGCAATAAAATGACCCATTTTTGGAAAAGTGAGTAACAGGAGATGAAAAATTGATATTTTACCATAATGCAAAAAATCTTGGGAACCTAGTAGAATGTCAAAATCCAGATTTCATCCAAAGAAGATAATGCTTTTCATATGGTGTGATTTTTTGTTATTTTCTATGAATAATTAGCATCAGGACAAACAATTTATTCAACTTTATACTGCTCACATTTAACAAAATTGTATCAATTAAAAATAAACTGGTGAATCGGAAAGGTTTTGTGTTCCACCAAGACAACGCTAGGCACCGCACCTCATTGGTCTCTCGCAATAAATTATTGATCCTTGGATGGGACCTTTTGCCCCAACTTCTCTATTTACCAGACCTAGCTCCAAGTGACTACCACTTATTGCAGCCTCTGCAGAACTCCATGAATGGAAAGAAATTCCAGTAGGAAGAGGATATCAAAAACACTTGGATCAGTTTTTAACAATAAACTCCAAACATTCTATGAACATGGCATTATGCAGTTATTGAAAAGACGGGGAAAAGTCATGTTTAATAATAGTCAATATTTTGTAGATTAAAATAAATTTTATGTCTATAATATATTAAAGGACTTATTTGCTAACCAAATATTATCATTATTGTTTAAAAGTGCCTAGATTAATAAAATCGTTCATGCCTGATAATGTTTTATAAAAACGCATTTCAAAAGTTTCCCACACCAAGGTGAGCACAAACATGTAATCGGAGTCGGAGTATTTGGCTTGGCTCAGTTCGTTCAGTTGTTCGTGGCCGACCCTGTCTACTGTTAGTGATCACTACAATTTATACTTCTTTTCAGTCACTAAAACACAACAAAAAAATTTCAGCATTTTCAATATGAACTTGCTAAATTTAGAAGATGAGATTTAAGTCTCGTTATAACTCTGCACGAAGAATTTTTTTAGTCTGTCGTAATTACTTCATGAAATGTTGGCAAAAAAAAAAAAAAAAATACTAATATGCTCTGGAGAATTGACAAGTGTCTTCGAAAAGGATGGGCACCCCTGCCCGTCACTTCATTATTTTTGAGAATTTGCGAAATTTGTTAGAAATTCACAAAATTGTCTTCCATATTGAAGTTATAAGTTGTACTAGGAGATTAGAAGGAGGCCCATTGCTTCACCTAGCAGCTCTGTTCTGTTTTCCTTATCTGCTTCCTGTGTTGCTGACCGTTACTCTACTACGAGTATGTCCTCGACTGCTTCAACGGATTTCCGCTGCTACTCGGATTTTCGGGCCACTGGCTTTTAGATCTTTATTTTTCTTTTCTGTTCTTTTATTTCATTCGATTCTCGCAGATATTCTGCCCGCTTTAAATTTGTATTATTCATGCCAGATTCATGCACAAGATCAGTACATGATTAAATGAATATGATTAATTAATTATCACTACACATTTATGAGGAAAAACTAAAGTATCAACCATCTAAAATACTGACTAATCAGAAAGCGCCTTTAGTTCGATGGTTTTATAGTAAGAGACATGTTATAGGGGAGGCATTTTCGCGCTATCGAACTTGGGGTGTGGGCACCTGGAGGGGTGTGCGATTGTAAACATCTGCCAGGATCCTCTGCATGGTTTTCTGCATTTTTACAGAGAACCATATTCGCAATTTTGACACTTACGGACAATTTGAAACTATCTAAATATTTGGATAGTTTTTATAATCCTACTTTCGCTTCATTTTTAAGAAAAGGAGAGCAATAGAATTTCAAAATTGATGAGCGAATACATCAACCATGAGGGATAGGGTATTTTTCTACACAATCAGACCTAGATAAGGGATCGTATAATTTTCTGTTGAAAAAAGTTACTTCAGTATGCTTAAAATTGTGTCCTTTTTCTTTATTTATAGTGACTTTAAACGATACCTTAACTGCTGGAAGTTGTTCTAGCGCGTGCGAAGCCTAAACCGCATTCTTTAATAAACGATACATTTAACGCTAAAATAATTTAAAAAATCTGACTAGTAGACAGTTATTAAAATTAGTGCCTTTAACAGATAAAATGTTACACTTTATATATTAATGTAGATTTCGTTTTATTGATACCCAGTAAATAGTTTTAGGTTATTTGTTTATATTATTTTCGTTATAAATAATTATTTAAAAATGGAAGTAAATTGGATGATCTTGATCTTTGGTCTGTCTTTAGTAGTTAGTGTTGGATTCAGCATTGCACCTGGTATAGTTTATAGTAATAACGAGGTCATATTTAAAAAAAAAACTTATTATTGTTATTGTATTTGTCATTCATGTTCATACTGAAAATTTCCTACTAATACATGTCCCATGTATATTATAAAACATATGGAGACCCTGCTCCTTAGTGAACCCATCTTTTTTTCGTTAAGACAAAAAACTTTGTACAAAAAGACCTAAGATGCCAACATACCATACCGACATATTTATCCTTCACCAGGCTCCTTTGAAAGTCAGAAATTAGTAGCTATACATCGTCGCCTGATGTGAAACATCTGCATCTGCTCCCACTAATCTGGGACAAAATTAAAAAATTACGATTTATAAACCATTTAAAATATTCGGTTCTGTCTAACAGTCGTGTTTACAATTAAGTAACACATATATTTTGAAATATTGATCAATTTTGACAACTTTTACTATTCTGCATTAAAAAGTATTTTAGTTAGATTATTTTAAAATATATATTATTAATACAAAAATAAGTTGTCTGCGAAAACATAGCGGATTAGGGAATAAATAATGCAACATAATTATTTAGGATATTGCGGCACATACATATATCATTTAATGCTATCAGCCATATTTCAGTCTTATTACAAAAAGCAAATAAACAAATCCATTGTTATATTATAACCTAAAATCCATACTGAGCAAAGACAGAAAGCTATAATATATTTTTTTCTTCTTTTAAGATGCATTGGCCCTCGGACATAGATCTAATATTTTTCGACCTAGTACCAAGAAAAAAAGTTTCATTAAAATCAGTGACCCCATTTTCATTACCTCCCTATGTCAGATGGAAGGACATTACCCAGAATCACATTTTCCTCGTTTATTTGTTTATATAGGACGCAGAACTTCATTAGTTCCTGCTCAAACATTTATTATTTTCTAGCATATTTCGGATAAAATCTGTATTAGTTATTGTCACCATTATTTAATATGTGTACGGAATTACGAACAATTAATGATCATTTACTGATAGTTGTTTAATATTTATTCAGTTGGTCGTTGATGAAATTTTAGTGCATATGGGTTCCCAAAACAGGGTAAGTAGAAACCACTCATTGATAAAATATGTTTTTAACACGTTCAAAGAAGTTAAACAATTTTTCTTTATTTATTATTGTCTTTTTTGATTATAAGATGAATACAAATAATTTATAAAAATTATATAAAACAAGATAAACTTATAATAATAATGTAGGATGTAACGCTAGTGAATGAAGATTAAAAAAATTGGTGTTTTCCTTTAAACTTTTCGTTTTTTTTTTTTTTTTTTCTTGATATCTTTTTATGTGTAGAATTTGTGGTTTGTTTTTAGTTTTCGTAATGTACCTATTGTGTTTCATATAGTTTTATATGAAATTAATAGCCTTTGTATTTTTTAACTTTATTATTTTCTTAAGCATATTTTCGGTAATGTTATATTGTTCTGTTTTAAAATAAGTTTACATTTTTTATTTATTTTTATAAAAAGGAACATTTAATAAAAATATATTAAGTATAGTAGTGGTGTAGCTTATTAGCTGAAAATTGGAAGGAGTACGAATTGATATATGGTTGATATGGTTTGGGAACCCTAGTTTTTGTGATTAATATTGTAGTACTTTTTTATATTGTACCAAAATTTACATTGTTATTGTTTAAGTTCTTATTATTGTATGAAAGATCGATTTCACTTTAAGTTATTAATTGCAGTTTATTTATTGGTTGATTTGAGAGTAATTTATCTTGTATCTGGCCTGGTTCATTCATAACTTATCGTTGGTTGATAAACGAGATGTGAAATACAATTGACACATATATCAGGGTAATTGTTGGCTAATTCTATTCAAGGTAGTCGATCGTTTGTGGGCTTGTCAGTATTGCTCCATTTCATCGTTTATCTTTAATTTTTATTATAAAATTAATTGATGAATAAACGTTTTATTATAATCATTGAGTTATAATAACCACCCCTTTGATTTGGATATGCGGTTCTATTTTATTCCAGTAGTTCCCAATTATTTTTATTAAGTCTTTCCAGTTGATATTGGCAAATACATTTTCTACATCAAAACAGACCAAATAATATTTAACCATTGTCTATTTTGTTTATTCTTTCAAGCATTTGAATTATAGCTTATTACAGAGAGAATGAAATGCTGAACAATTTCCTCGCATATAGTATGCAGGCCCGATTTTTAGTTTCTTAGATATTTTAAACCATTTGTAAAAACATTTCAATTAGTCGACTCTAGCCGACTTTAGCCGAGCGTTAAAATCTGACGGATCAATTTAATTCGCTCTCCACAAAAAAGTACAAAACGCGCCTAAAGAAGTTTTATCTTCAAAAGATTAAAAATAAATCAGTTAAACATGGACAATTATTATTAAAATTTCAACAAAGAAGCTTAAAGAGAAATTCTTGATGATACTAATACTGATGAAGTTATTGCTAAATACATAAATACAATTCGATAATTGTTAATCTCATTATTATATTTTAAATGTATGTTTTAACTTATCTATTAGGCGTATTTTTGGTTTTGTTCAATTACATTATATTTCGATTTCCAGAACTTTATCTTGCCATACTTTCCTATGGAAAAATTTCCCCTCTCGCGATTCTCTCCCCTCTTTTATATCTTATTTCGCTCCACTCGGTCTATACTTTGTTTTGTATAGGACAACTTTTTTTGGCCATCATCATCATTTGAATTTGTCTACTCATGGTAACCATTTCTTTTCTACACAAATACTGTTATTGGGATGGGATTTTGGGTTATTATGATATATTTTGTTTTATTTTAATTTGTATTTAGGCCGATTTGCTCTGCTGCTCTTGTCAGAGTCTTAGCTAGTTTCTCAATGTCCTCATGATTGCTTCCAAGGACAGCTATGTCAATTGTATAGCCAACGATTTTATGATTCATTCCGATACCTCTCCATTTTCACGTGATGTTGTTTTTTTCTTGAGAACTAAGTTGGACAGCATCGGTTCAAAAGAGATAATTCCCCTTGTATAAACTTCCAGTTTAGTCATGATTCCCAAAGAAAGTTCCTCTACACAGATAAATAGCCTGCTTTGAAATCAACAAATTAGGCATGAACATTAGCTACTTCCGACTGCAGGATTTATTAATAGAATTACAATGAAATTTCACTTCATTAATATTCCGTTATCTTTTTGAATAGATCCAGGATGACCTCTACGACGATGAACCGAACTTCCAAAATATCTGTTATTATCTCCACTACCTGAGGTCTCCTGTAGAGGCAGGTAGTCAAATGAGGAGCAGCTCCCGGAGCAAAAAACATCTCCAAACCCAGGCGAGCCTAGCGGGGCACATGTCTGGGCGCTGTCCTTATATGGAGTCTGGTGGGCCTTGATTGAGCTTCTTCTCGCCGCAGTTCTGTCAAAGAGGATTAGAATTTAGTAAAAATTGTTATAACTATTGGCAAAATTTATTATTATTTTAATGAAATTTACAACTGTATTGTATGAAAAACACAACAAGTAAATGTGGCATTGGTAACTCGACATGTACAGCATGAAGAGAAACTACCCATTGGCAGAACTCAAATTAAAGTTCTATATTAGAAGGTCCCGAGGCCATCTTCTTTTCAGACGCCTCGAAGGGTTATCAGGGATCGAGGAGGAAGCAAGGTTTGAAACGAGAGAGTTCGGATGGTTCTGCAGTTTGTTATGGAAGGATAGGTATCTGGATTGGACCAAATCGGAAACATATGGAACATTAAGGTCTTTATGGATGATTTCATTTGTGACAAAGTAAGGAGCGTTGAGGATTTTTGATTTTAAGGATTGGATACGAGAGGAATTCGATGTTTTAGTGGAGCCCCAGAGCTCAATTCAGTAAGTCCAAATACATCTTATTATTGTCATATATATGAATTGTTTGTAATTGATTGAAAGCTTAGAGCGTTTATCTAGTAAGTTTTGGAGTAGTCGAAAACGTCAAGCGGTTTCTTGTCGTTTCAGTCTTGTATGAGAATTCCATGTGAGTGGCAAAATTATTAATTAAATATATTTAAATAGTTTAGGCCTTCCTTCTACCCTGTCAGCCATCCCAATAAAGTTGATGTCAAGAATGTCCATTTGATTCTAGGACACTGAGTTCCCTTAGAATAATGTAGATATACGATTGCAGTATATTTTGTCTGATATAAAACTATAATTATAAAATTATAGAAGGATCAAATTATAAGATACGTTAAAAGAAAGTAATAAATAAATATAATGAATTATAGATGAACAAAAAAAATTATGACACCAAGATTAGGAAATATGGATAAAAGTATAATTTCACTTTTTTCAAAAAACTTAAATCAGATAGAGGATGTGTGGACTAAATATCTGTGGTATAGACCCCTTTTTTTATCAAATTATTAACATCCGCCTGAAACTTTGTAAATAGCTTTATCTCATCGTAACCTAGAAATATTTTATTTACGAAAATTCTCGTAATTAGGGCGTTTTCAATCTGGAGATCGGCAAACTTTGTCTATTTAATTAGGTGATAAAAACTCACGAATACCCATATGCTTTCCACTTGAATCGTAAGATAATATGATCGAAAAATCGAAAAACAAGGTGGCCTACAAACATATTGGTCCGTTTCGCGAAACCTCCACCCTGAAAAAGTAAAAGCGACGAGATTATATAGTCCAAATGCACCAATATTTTAGTAGGCCACCTTTTTTCGACTTTTTATCATCTTACGATTCAATTGGAAATGTGTATTGTATTCATGAGTTTCTAGAACCTAATTAAATAGACAAAGTTTGCCGATCTCCAGATTGAAAACGCCACGATTCTGAAATTTTTTGTAAAAAAAATATGTCTAGGTTACGATGAGATGAAGCTCATCTCGTTTAAAGAACAATTTAACATTCTTTAACTCCTTAAAGAGTACGTTTCTCGCTTCGATGCACCGTTCAGGAGTTATAGATGAAAACATCTAGCGTTTTAGGCTGTTATGTTAGCAATGTCGTCTTTTACATGTTCAAACCCATATATACAAGGTAAAAAAATAAAAACTTTCCCCACATTTTTCGCAATAAATTTCCCATTTCCATGCTCAATTTAGATGATTTAGTCTTGCAGACTCTCATTTTATTGATATAAATATTTTAAAATATACTTTCAAACATTTCTTCAAATAATGTCATTTTTTTCTACCTCTCGGACTGTCGATTCAGAAACCATCTGAATTTTGAAACCTCCAAATTTTGTCAATGACTTATTGAATTGAATTATGACTATTTAAGGCATAAAATCGAGATTCTCTTTCCTTTGATAGCTTATTCATAAATATCTATCCCTCTCAGAATCCAGAAAAAGGAATCTATATATAGTGGCTATTATATATATAGTGTAGATCTTTTAGTGAACTCCTTTCTGCGAGAACGAGAATATTCTTTTGTCATCGACCGGAGGAATTGGTGGAGACGTTGAAGGATCGTGTTCTTCTCTCTCCCCTTCGCTCTTTACTTCACCAGCAGTGAACCACAATAAATCAAGCCGGGAGGTTCTGAACCCTAACGCCGATAATCCGACACGTTATGGCTCTAGAGATGGAGTACTGTCACCTTAAAGATAAAATGCCGGATTAACATCGAGGAACAATGCACTCTCTTACTAGTCCGGCCTTCGCGTGCCTCTGCTCCCCCACTTCGAGGCAATGACAAGACAACTGCAGGGCAATTCTGGAGCTACGTGATCAGAGCTCTAAACTGTCACCAATTGGACGCCCCCTTCTGCCTTTGCATGTCCCAATTGACCCTTTGCCTCGCTAATTGCACAGTGTAACATCATCTATACCTCTCTGACCCCTGAGTCACGTGTTCTTTGGTAACATACGCAATAGATATCATTAGTGTCTTAGGTCATCGAGATCCTAGATATTATAGGAGCTTTTACTGTACCTGGAAACTTAGAGTACCTGGTAAAGTCATGGATTAGTTGCGAACCTTTTTGAAAAAATATTCCAAAATTTTGGGGAATTTTGGAAGGTAGGTGATATGAAAATCCATCGCTCACCAGACTAGAAAATGGATCGATATTGCAGTATTGTATAAATAGTGTAGATTGAATGATACAGGTGGAAAATATTGATTGTGTAGTATATCCTAAATCTTATATTTTGTGTGTTTTATCAGAGTGTAAATTGGTTCATTTTATTTAAAAAACGCTGCAAATTATTTCACAATGGTTTATTATTTCCAAACAATTATACATCTAAAGTAACATTAATTTCGTAGTTACAAAGAATAATCAATAAAAGGTGATTCCAATTATTGGATTAAACTTTTTTTTTTAATCATTAGTAATATGCTAAAAAAAATATCATTACTTCAGTAACACATTCTAAATTCAAAAACCAAAACAAAGGATGTAACCTTTGCAGAACAAAAAAACAAAAAAAATAGATACCATATCTTTCCTCCTAATTGTCCGATAACGATTTTGTTTTTTGTTTTAAAAACGTAAACTTTTAAAAAACCGTATACAATATCTACAAAAAAGTGTAAACTTTTTGAGTTATTCGGAATTTAATTTTACTATCCCTTGTAACTTCTTTTCGTTGAAGTCTGTTATATAAATAAATTTAAAGGGCGTCGAGAAAATTTCTAAGCGAAGTTTCATTGAAATCGGTACATTCGTTTAGGAGCTACAGTCTATAGCAACGCAGGTTTTTCGGCCGCCATTTTGAAAGTAAAAGGCAGATAGTTATGTCGATGAAGGAGGATCATCCTCGGGTGACCTCTGATTTAACATCAAAATTTGAAAATAAATCGGTCCAGTAGTTTCGGAGAAAATGCCCGCACGGCCGATGGCATACGGCGGATGGACAAAAAAATTTTTGTTCGTTTTTCGAATTCTACGCATCCTGAAACGTGAAACCTCAAATTTTGGGGTCAAGTTTTTGAATTTTTTGGTCGATCACAATGGTTGATTATTGAAAATAATAAACCAACAGAACATGTGTTTTTATTTTGATGTGAACAAGTTTTGGTTGGCGCTGTTTGACATATAGAAAATAATAAATGCAAAAAGAAATGTATACATTCTAGACACGGAAGATTCAACAGAAAACATGAACCTGATATATGAGACAAATGATAAAAATAGTCACGAGTTCGCGTCCCGGTGTCGGGGGAGTATTTTAAATCCCTGTCCACATCCCCTGGCCCGAGAAAATCACCTATAGCCTTGAAGCCGAGGACAAAAAAAAAAAAGCTAAAAGTGGAGAATTTGAAATCGAATAAATAAATAGTTAAATGTATACAGTATTGCATAGGGGTGGGGAACCGCGGTTTCGGAGGCCGCATATACCTCAGTGACGTAGTTGCTCCAAACGTTTTTGCGTGATACTAGTGCTGAAATTAATTAGTATTTAATTATTTAAGTAACGAAATTTTGGACATTAATATAATTAACATGAATGTATGCATGTGAGTTTTTGTATTTAATGATAAATAAAATGAGTAACGGTAAAATATAAAAACTTATTGCGACCTCCATTATCACTGCTTAACCTTAGTGCGGCCTCTAATGATAAGAACAAGTGCCACCTGTGCTATATTGGATTTTATCCAAATAAATTTCAACTGAATCGACTCAGACCTTGAGATACGAGCGCTAGATGACTAAAACAGTCTTGTTACGCCTCCAGAGTCTCTTATTTCGTAAACCTCTTATCTGGCCTTACCATCGGTGCAATGTCGCAAGAGGGAAAACGCTTCCAGCAGCTGGCTATGCTCAGAAGAGAAAGCCCTAATTGTATTTCGAATTATTCTTTAAATAGTTTTGATACCTACGTTAGCATATTTATAAGAAAAGAAAAATGTTTTTGGTTAACAAGAACTAAGTGTTTTTTTGGAAGAAATATAAAGTTGCCTAACATACTCAGATCGATAATTTCGACTTGGGGAGGTTGAAATGTATTTCTTGGCGGATCCTCGGCCTTCCCATTCTTGTTAGAATAAATTTGGTCCTAACTATAGAATAATCCCCTCGTATGCCATAAATGACAAGATAGGAGATAATCGAGAAAAAAAAATCCAGATAGTTTTGTTACCTTTCTGTTGTATATAAGTATACGAATCTTATAAGTATGATTTTGTTTTTAGAACAGTCCTTCCGAAAAATCCTCTGGGATACATGAAATAAAATTCACCCATTAGTAGTTTACTCTTAAGAAATTGTCACACAGAGCCTATTAAATTAGACTTCGTATGCAAAAGTATGTATGGAACCAAGTAATTCTCTAATTAAAACTTTTCAATGAAGAAAATAAATTTCAATTAATTTCATTTATTTATTGGTTCATTGTTCAAATGAAAGTATATTTTATTATTCTGGGATTGTTGTCCCTTTAGAACAAATTATAACCACAGAATGCATTTCTGTATGGTCATAAATTA